CTCTCTCTCTCTCTCTCTCTCTCTCTCTCTCTCTCTCTCGCTCGCTCGCTCGCTCGCTCGCTCGCTGGCTCTGTGCGCGCACACTGTCTGTGTTCCCTGTTTTTTCTTCTTTCTTCCTTTCTGTCTTTTGGCTATGAACAGGAGGCCAAGTGTCAAACGGAACAGGAAACGGAAAAGATGAGATTGGCCCTCCCTGCCCTACGGTACGGTCCAATCGTGTATGTATCTTCATCTAACATCTAAAAGGTGGAAATAAACGCCTTTCTTTCCGTTTTCTCATTCTTTCCGTTTTCTCACATTTGCCTAGCGTTGTTGCGCTATCGGCAGAGGCTCGATCAGAAATATCGTGCGATGATTACCGAGGGCCTAGCCATCTGGCAGCATTTTGAACGCATCCGGACACGATACCTGTCCAGACGCTTCACAGTGTTGGCGGACCTGGAGTGCTGCAACTACGTAGGCCCTCAGGCTGGCAATCTCCCGAGGGGCTGGCCCACCTGCCCCTGGTGGACCGGCAGCGTGGGGATCGTTCGTGCAATGCCTACCTAAGAAATCCAAGGGCTATGGAATTTATTCAACTTGAATGTGGTAGCTTATCTGAAATAGGAGGCCTGAAACCTCACATTAAAAAAAAAAAAAAAAAAAAAAAAAAGAACTCACACTTCAACCCGGATAGAACAGAGAACTCAGTCATCACCATGATAATGTAGAGAACATAAAACTGCTATAATCTAATGAACAGATTTCATCTAAGAAGAAGGAAAAATGCGAAATGGTAACCCACACTTGCAGTCTTGGATCTCTTGTAGTCTTCCGCCTCTTGTCTTGTAGTCTTCCGTCCTGCGGGTGTCAGCACGAAACCCGCACCACTTCGGAGGCTGTCGATCGGAGGCCGCCGATTTCTTTTTTCAACGGCGCCCCACGCCGTGCGGCCCCTCGGAGTTTTGCTTGTGGCGACAAAAACTTTGTGCAAGGCTGGGGCCATGTACTTGAGGTTTAAGGATAAACTCACAGGACCAGAGAGTTGAGGCAGTGTCCTGTGGATAAGCCTTGGAGCAGATAGACGCGCACCAACTCCAGAATTCTTGAGCTATTGGGCAAGACCACCAAATGTGCGGGATGTCTTCATTAAGGTACGGGTTACATGACGAGTAGAAGGCTGAGACAGGCACGCTTTTGGAAACACACCATGATTTCCCTGTGGGAATACTCAGCATTCGGATAAGCCAGAGTACTCCCGCTTGCTTCACGGACGGAATGATCCTGAGAGATTTTCCCAAGTTACTGCATTCGTCATAATGGATTGAGTTCAGGCCCTCAATCTCTGCAAAGTTGTCCCAGTTTCCCTTCATTAGCATTGAGAGTCTTCCAGCTTTTTTTCTCTCTTCTTTTCTTTTCCCTTTAAAGCCCTTTTCCGAGCCCACTATCCAGGCGGTGGTAGGAGAACCGCCAGAATTGAGGGCTCGGCCAGCGGGCGGCTCCATCTATTGGTGGGGAGCGACACCTGCTGGAAACCGGGTCCAGCGTCCCCTTCCAGCTTTTGAATTTTGCTTATAGCCTTTGGGTACTGTCACGACTGTGTACTCAAGCAGCGGGGTTTTCTCCTTGATGTTGGGCGGGTTAATCCGTCCTATACTAAGCCGGTGCACTGAACCTTTGTCTGGAGGAGAGGGAGGCCTTCCATACAAAGTTGGAAGTAAGTTCTAGGTCTGCCACCCACAAATCTGGTTTTTTCTTGAACCAGAATTTGGCTAAATCAGACCAGGTCCTGTGAACTGTCTCTATTACTTCCCCGACAAGTTTGCGAACCCCGTCTCTACCTTCCCCCCACTCTTGTAATTTGCATTCTTTGTCATCTAGCACTTCGGTAACGCTCCAAATCCTGCCCTCCCCATCTTTGTTACCCAGTTACATACCTTCGGCAACTCCTGCCTTCGTTAGCAGCTCTACCCAGTTTTTGGGAATTACGGCTATTAGCTTTTGTAGGTCTGGGCGGAGACTACTGACTGAATCGAGCATAGGGAGCAGCTCATCTGGTCTTTTCGATCTTACTTCTGTTTGGTTCCATAGATGTCTGATTTTGAAATTTCCTTTCCTTGTCGAATGCTTCACGGGAGAAGAGAATGTGATAGCTAAGGGCCTAGTACCTTCCTTAATCCTAATTGTCGGATTATCAAAAATGTTTTGACACAGAACCTCTTCTACTGTAACCGGGTCCTTTATGGTTGTAGGGAGAAGCTTTTCCCATGCCCTGAGAATGGGGTCCCATGTTTTGGAGTTAACCTTCATTTGCAGGAAGCCAACCATGAACAGGCAGGCCCATACTGCTCTGGGATCTTCCAAGGCCCAATCCTCTTCAAGGATAAATTGGGCTAGGTGAATCCACGGGGGATTATCATTCAACGTCAACACTCTCAGGACCCATTTGATCATTAGAGCTCTACTTTGTGCAAAAGGTCCAATACACCTAGCCCCCCTTCATTCCTCTTCTGCATGATCTTCCACCAGGCCACTTTGGAGAGGGCTTTACCGTTCTCAACTGTTCCTTTCCATAAGTAAGTATCAAAATATTTCTCAGGGTTTTTTTCAGGCTGTGATAGACACTTCGAATTGAAATGATATACCATATAGTCGACAACACCATGGTGTTAATTATTAGTGCTCTGCCAAAGAGTGAAACTGATCACACCTTCAACAGAGTACAGAGGCGTTTCATAACTCAATCTTGTATAATTAGGTTCTGTTTGATAGAGTTCACATCGTATGAGACCTCTATACCAAGAAATATTTCTGAGTGAGATCTATTCTTTACCTCTATCCCCAGGTCCTTTTCCAGCGAGGATTCATCTCTAGATAAAGCTATTGATTTTTTCCAACCGACCGTCGCGTCTGACGCTTTACCAAACAAGGGTTAAGCACTCATCCACAGCCCCCAGGGAGGAAACTGTATTTTCTGAGATAACTGCCAAATCATCAGGAAGTGCTGACGTTTGGAGTTGGTACTCAGGGGAGAGTCTCAAACCCTTCATTTGAGAATTTCGGATCATGCCTAACAGGACCTCTTGCTGGAGAACGTACAGTAGGGGTGCCAAAGGGCATCCTCACCGTAGTGATCTCGTGAGAGCAAAGGGTTCAGACTTTTTCCCATTAACAATTACCGATGTCACCGAACCTGGTCCACTGAAAAGTTTTTGCACCCAGTTACGGAAAATGGGGCCAAAGCCCCTCTTTTCTAGCATCTGTAGTACAAAGTCCCAATTAACCCTATTGTAGGCCTTTTCAAAGTCGATAAGTAGGATGATCTATGAAGATTTTCTTCGGTCTATTACTTCAATGGCTTGCACTAATGTCATAGCATTGTCCAGTACTATGCGGCCTTTGACAAATCCGGATTGGTCAGGGTGAACCAACTCAGGGAGCAAATCCGCTTTTCTTGTAGATAGGGATTTCGCTAAGGTCTTTCCTGAGGTATTCAAAATTGTGATAGGTCTGTAGTTGTGAATGTCACGCTTGTCATTTTTCTTGTAGATGAAGGTGATGGCGCGGTCCATCAACCTTCTCCCTAAACTGTGCCCATTCGTAACATTGTTCAATTGCTCCAGTAGGATTGGTCCAAATATACTCAGTGCTTCCTATAACCGTTTATTGGAAGGCCATCTGGGCCTGGACATTTCCCTGCCGCCATGCTGTTCATTGCTGCAGTAAGTTCCTGTACGGTTAATTTCTCTTCTCGCCTTTCTCTTTTCCCTTTGGAAATATGTGTCATATTTGAGCCCCATAATTTCTCTTGTTCATCCTCAACAACCGGTTGGTCCGGTAGTTTTTCAGAAGACAAGAGTTTCTCATAGAAGGTCTTCACATATGAGCACATGGACCTTGTGTCTGATGCAGGTACACTATTTGGATCGAAGGGGTGGAGGATTTCGGTCATTGTCGAGTTGCCCCTTCTTTCAGTTGCCTTCTGAAAGAAGGCTTTAATCATCCTGTC